TATACAAGAGCCAGGGTTTGCCTTCTTTCACAGTGTTCGCTCGAGCGTGGGCCGAGAATAATAACTGAAAAGTGGGCCGAGGATCTCAATTTTTACGGCGTGTCTTAACGGCACAAAGGGGTTAATGTCACTTGGGTATATACACATTCATTGACTTCAAAACTATCAAAAACTTTCTTTACATTGTAATTTGCCCCATTTTTATCGGGTTCATTCAGACGGAAGCGAAGTGATTCTGAAGGAGGGACTGTGCATCAAAAAGAGTGGCAACAGAAACCTACTCGGCCAATACAAATGGCAGAAGCGCTGGTTTGTCTTGATACAGCGAGGTCGGACAGCGACTCTTTACTACTACGAGTGAGTGAAACCAGAGTCAAAAAGAAATGCTTCTCAGGCAGACCTTTCAGATTGTTCTCTTGTCTTCCCAGTGCATTTATAAGCTTTTCCAAGGGAAATTTTCATTTCTGACTCGTTTTCCCTGTCACTCTTTAATTTTACCTGCCCACCCATCCTCAATTCAGACTAACCACACTTTTGGAAAGGCAGTCCTTGCTTGCAGGTACAGAACTTTCGAGTTGCCCGTTTTACAGATGTCACTAACACTGGTGAATTAATCTCAAGTTGCATTGCCACTGGCACAGTGGAGGCAAAAGCTCGGATGTATTACCAAGGGATAGCTAATCAACTCCCCCGAAGCATCAGAACACTTTTTCTTGTTTCAATCTGTGAAACATCTTTAATATTCATTTTTCTAGCAAGCAAGGCGCCAAAACACCTAAAGGACAGATACAGCTCAGTAATAAGTGTGAGTAGACATTTTTTGATTAAACAGGCAACTTACTCTGTATAAAATTATTAAATCATTAAATATGGTTTTGCCGCACACAACTTTTTAGTGACTTTGAATTACATTAAATTTTTATGACAAGAATAAATGTCAATATGGATATCAAGTAAATAAATTAAACTTACCAATCCATATGCTTTCTATCTGTGAACAGGATACTACAAGGCTGTACAACTGATACATTTCTACACAATAATCAATGTCGAAAAGTTTGAGTTCTGAATTACCAGAAATGCAACTTCCTTTTGGGCTGCAGCTCCCCCCAGAAAAATGCCTGTTTACCTGTTTTACTTGCAAAGAAATCAAGAGAAACAGGAATGGTAGGAGCAGATCGTGCCAAGTTTCCAAAAAGCAAATACAGAACTTACATACAGAACCAAAGGCAGATGAAAGCATGCTCTGGATGCTCTGCAGTACATCCCAGTCACCAGAGTCCTCACAGAAATTCCTTACACCCTGGTTTTATATGGCCTCATGAAAACCTTTTGGAGCGAGGCCAAATACCTCATGCATGGCCAAGAGAGTCTTAGTACAATAACAAAAGGCAGGTGGAATTTTCACTGTAGCCCCAGTGGAGTAAACAATAAGTACCTTCTAACAATGCTGAGCTTAGCATATAAATGTTGCTTAATTCTGCTAGCCAATTTGGACTGTTCCATTACATGGCATTAGGTGGAACTATAAATAATACTATGGTCCAAAATTGAGGATAAAGTAAATGGTATTGGGATTTTGTTTTAAACTGCTCTGTTCAACTAAATCAAGGTATGGGGTACAAAAATTCACTGAAACACAAATAAAAATTGAGTTTTATTACAAGGCAGAGTCAAAAGTGGAGGACTTTTTCCCCTTCAAAGACTTCCAGCAGTCTTTCAAGGACGATGGAATAGTGGCTGTGGTGATGGTAGGGGGGTGCTTAACATCAAGTCAAATCAATATGCAGGGTCTTCTCCTCTGCTGCTCACAGGCTTTGCTACATGCCAGCTATTGTCATTGACAGTCTGGGCAGAATACAGCTAGCTGGAAGCTTCCAGACAATAACTTTGTTTGCACTGAATCCTGCCATGGGGCATTGCATTTTCCAATGGTAGCTAACTGTAAATAAACCTTGCTGCATCTAATGTACACTGGATCCTGATCCTGCTTCCATCCACCTTTCACAATGAAGGAAGGTCACTGTGTATGCAGTGCCAACTTGCACACTAAATGGTGCTTAACTTGCTCTGCTGAAGTTATTGCACTAAGGCCTGTCTGGGGATGATTGCCATTCTGTTTGCTCTAATTTCTTGCTAGGCTCAAATATTCATGAATGTTTACATGTACTCAACATCGCACCATTTTTCCACACTTGTGTGCGAAGTACTTTGTTGTTGCTGCCCTTTTCAGACACTATGACTTTAAACGCAACCCAAGACAAACATTTCAGAGCATTTTTAGTTTTATTTTATTTTATTTTATTTTATTTTATTTTATTTTATTTTATTTTATTTTATTTTATTTTATTTTATTTTATTTTATTTTATTTTATTTTATTTTATTTTATTTTATTTTATTTTATTTTATTTTATTTTATTTTATTTTATTTTATTTTATTTTATTTTATTTTATTTTATTTTATTTTATTTTATTTTATTATTTTATTTTATTTTATTTTGTTTTATTATTTTTTTTATTTTATTTTATTTTGTTTTATTTTATTTTATTATTTTATTTCATTTCGTTTTCTTTTCCTTTCTTTTATAAAGGCATGAATGTAAAGCGACTGAAAGTTGAAGATAGTTTAGCGTTTTCAGGAGATTTTGAATTGTCATGGTAGCATTGCCGTTATTGCAGCAATACTGAAAAATTTCCCAAATTTGTGGGTCCGTTAAAGTAGATTTCGAGTAGCCTGCTTTGTTCCCACATTTAAATGTCAAAGGAGAAACATAATCAAGCCTTGGATCGCATAACCTTTAATAATATTCCTTGTTGATAAACAAAGCGACACTCACATTGACAAATCCATAATATTTAATGGAATTAAGCTACAATCATTTTATAGAATTTTTCATTAATCTACTAGATATCAGTATAAGCTGAAGGTTTTTGATGTGACCCTATATTAGAAATAAAGAATACATCACTAAAGCTGACAAATACATTTATGAACCTGCATGAAATAGAAGACACAAGTAACAAATATAATAAGTCAGACGCTGACAATGGCATATACAATACATTGGCTTTAAAGTTCATGTAATTATTTACGGGAAATTTGGTTATTTATAAGAGGTAATTTTTCAACAAAATAAATTTCTTTCTTTATTCAGATGTTACAAGGGAGCCAGAAGGCAAAGAGAGGGAGCAACCGAACTGTTTTGAAGTGGGACCCTTTGCAGAAGATGGTACAACAAGGACCTACTATATCAGCTGTGGTGAGACTTCATCATCTGCTTGTTGAGAAGTCCTTGTTCTCTTTATCAAAATTAATCTAAGTGTTCCTCATCAGACCATGGAGCCGACCTTTGCATAATTAGCAAGTTAGGCTAATTCAAACCAACTGATTTTCAAATTGGATTTAATTGGGTCCAGTTGGCAATCAGTTGTGCTCAGTTGGTTTCAGTTGGTATGTTTTCTTACCCATTTGTTTTGCCCCATCCATTGGAGATTTCAAATCAGACGCAGTTGGTTTCAATTGGCATTTTTGTCTTTGTTTATTTTCCCCAATCAATTAGAATTCAAATGGGAATCAAATGGTTCCAATTGGTATGCTTTCTGTCTGTCTGTTTTCCTCGATCAATTGGAAATTTCAAATGGGATGCAACTGGTTCCAATTGGTATGCTTTCAGCTTGTTTCCCCCATCAAATGGATTTTTCAAATGGGACTCAATTTGTTTGAATTGGTATTGAAATGGTTTCAGTTGGTTCTTTGGTTGGTTACAAATGGATTGTGAATTGGCATTCAAATGGTGTCAATTGGTTTGAAATGATCCAACTGAGAAAAGGTCAGAATTTACTATTCAAACCAATTGGACCCAATTGGATTCCAATTTGATTCCAAGAAAAAGCAATTGGTTTTGGAATTTGTTACTGAATTGGTAGTGAATTGGATCCAAATGGTATATGAATTGGATCAATGGGTAAGTGAATTTGTCTCAATAGGTGAATGAATTGGACATTTTTAGTAAGAGAGCATTTGCTCAATATGAATCGCATCATAGGTTACTTGTGAACATCAATAAATTTATGCCAGGTCGACCCCCATGAGGGTGGCCATACACCAACTCACTCCACGAAACATATCTGTTTGAACTGGTGTCATGTCATGCTTAAATGACTTTGTCTTATTGAAATACCGAAATTGCTAATTGATAGACAAGAGGGACATTCCTTGCCTGGGTAATGTGTGACCACATTTCCCTTCAAAATGTCCAATGAAGCCATTTTTCATTTTACAGTCATTTCCTCCCTTCTGTAAAGATGAACATGTCTGCATTCATCACTATTGATTGACCACTTTTTATCATCAAGTTGCCTCCATTTCATTAAATAGTAATGTTGTAATATCCCCCCCCATTTAATCCTCCCTGAACATGAAACAGCTGTTTGGCACATATGTTAGGAGATGATGCAACTTTCTGTGGGACACTTGAGGGTGGTGTGGTGGCCTTTGATCTATGAGTCAAGACTTTGATGACTGAACACTGACCACCACACCAAACCCAACTAGTGTCCATTTGTTTCTTCTTTACAGTCTCCCAGTCATCTTTATCCACTTGCCGCCGGGGTTTCTGGTACCGGACACGTATTCTTTATACGCGTGGCCAGGGTCTCCAAAATCGGACAAAGGGAACTGGGCCTTGTAACAAAAGACTGTACTTGTAAAACGGCCAGGTTGCTGGGCATTACCAACATTTTTTCACTCTCAATAGTGGAGATAATCCAGCCTTGTTTTAAAACAGTATACCACGGTTTGGGGCAATTAGTGCGAGTGGGACAAAAGCGCTCCACCACCGCAGCAATGAGCCACACAGTACCATTGCAGTCTAATCTGGCCCTTATTGAAAAGAGGTCAGCAGCGCACTGTGCCAGTTTCATGAACAAAAGAAAATTACGTCACACCGCAAAATCTGGGCTCTTTTTACAAGGCAGCAGGCCTGGCTGAAATACTCCAGCATCAATAGATGTTGTCTGTCAGATAAGAGCAGAAACCAGACAGTCCTTGGTGTGGGTGTAAGTGTCCAATAAATGAAGATAGGAATTTTAAAGAATTTTGAAAACAGAAAAAAATGATAATTATCCCACCCCAGCATCGTCAACATTGATAACTGCCACCGGCACGAAGTGGTTAATGTACACCTTGGGACGGCTAATCCAGTCGCCAGTGGAGGTGCAACAGTAACAACACAAATAGTGTAGAATATCAAAGTTACAGTGAATGGAGAGTGAGATTTCTTTTTCTCCACAGAAAGTGAAGATGATAAACATGAGTGGATGGAGGTTCTGGATGCTGCAATAGAGGGCGCTTCAGCACAAAAAGCTTTGCTTCGCAAGCAGACAGCCTCCTTCAAAGCTAAGGTAGCTTTCTAGTGCAATCCCCATTCAAATGGTTCTTGGTTTATTTACTTCAGTGTTCTCAGTTCTGTTCATTTTAGAGGGATGTGTGTTTCTCAACAGGTTGTACAAGGAATGATGTTTCCCATTTACATCAAACTATCTGACGTTTACCGTGAATATTTAATATATGGATTTAGATGGAGATGTGCAACTACTATACAATATTTGCTGAAGAATGGGCTGGATTCCAGACTTTGCTCAAATGCTGAATTCCTTTCCAAGGTTTTAGACTGGCACATCATGTCTGTCTCGAGCAAAAGAACTTGACCACAGCACTACATCATGCAGTCTGAGTGATTTAAGTTAAACAGCACAACACTGACATCTTCAGCAAGGAAGTAGATTGACTTTCCAATAAGAATAATGACTTCTAATGTTCTTGAGATTTAAGCTGAGGTTGATGGTCATTGTAATATCCTGACCATGTCTATAAAGACTTCATGTATGGTTCATTGTTTAGAAAAGGAAAGACAGAGAAAGTAGAAATTCTCAGCTGGCAGAGAAGAATGAATTCAGGAGAGACATGTACTTGGATGCAGAGTGGAGAAAGCAAGTGAGTCCAAGAGACAGAGATATGGGGGAGGGAAAATAGAATACGAAGGGTCTGTGCAAGGAAGAAGATTCTACCTGTGGATACCGAGCAGTCGGATTCTAGCAAAATTTGGCAACTTTTTCTCTGACACAAAGGTCCATGTGATTGTGTAATAATAAAAAAAAATGCTACAAAGCTCTGAAATAGTATACAAACTGTAACTATCAGTCCCAGATCACTCAAATCCACCAAGAGGTTTTGGAGGATTGGCAGTAATGAGAGAGGGAGAGCCTAGCCACTATTTCCTTACTTTGAACTGGCTGCTTGAGAATTATGTTCAAAGAATGTGCCATCATTTTCCATCACGGTGGGGGATTTTGGAGGATTCAGAGAGGTTTCTGCCAAAAATCCAAATGAGGGCTGGAGTAATTCTGGCAAAATTTTTCTTACTGTTGGTCAGACACAAAATGCAGAGGCGATTCATATTGGGTCTTATACCTGATGGATGTAGTGGTATTTAGACAATTCAAATTCATTGTACTGTATATTTTGGGCATTCATGAGTACATACATGTATAATGAAGAGTTTTGATGTGTACATTGAAGTAAATAAAGTACTAGACCACAAACCACAACCTCAGATCTGTCAACAAACCATAACCTCAGATCTGTTAACGAACCATAACCTCAGGTCTATCAACGAACCATAACCTCAGATCAGTCAACGAATCGTAACCTCAGGTCTGTCAACAAACCATAACCTCAGGTCTATCAACAAACCATAACCTCAGATCAGTCAACGAATCATAACCTCAGGTCTGTCAACAAACCATAACCTCAGATCAGTCAACGAACCATAACCTCAGATCTGTCAACAAACCATAACCTCAGATCTCTATCATTCTCCCACCTTTTTTGTTAATTAAAGAATAAAACCAGTCTATCACACCTCATTCCCTCATTTTGATTTGAGCAGCAGTGGAACAACCTGTTGGCCTTGGCAGTTGGCAAAAATTGGAAGAAAACAGACACCAAAGATGGTGTGACAGTCAGCAGAATGAGTTTCAGTGATCTGCCACTTGCTGTGGTCAAGGTGAGGATTACTTGACCCTTAAATGGCTCAGATATCTCACCCAGCGGCACAGTGTGGACTGGTGTCAATCCACACTCCATAACTTGGATTTTTCTCTCATCATGGCTAAAGTGTGGTACAGTCTAACAATTGTGATGTGAGGCAAAGCAAAAGGTGTCATGCAAGGGGAGTCATGAATCCATGTTCAACACCTCAGAGGTCAACAAATATCATTTGATATACTGGCAATAAGATGAAAAGTACGAAATGATATCCAGAGTGTTTACTACTTTTCTTTAACATGTGCATGCTATTCAATGAGAGCTGCATGTTAATGTACAAGATATTGGAAACACTGACCTTTGGCCTTATGATGTAGAAGAAACACACATGCATCTGTTTATGTAATTTTTTCGGTACTTTTAAATTTAAAGAGAAACAGAGAGTTCAAGATTTACTTTCATAACTGGATTTTGTGGAATGAAATGTTTTTTTCTGTAGGCTACACATACAACATAGTGTGGTGCCCATCGTCTGCTGACTCTGTGTTCAGAATTTCCATAGAGCTAGTATCTGGGAACTTTACCAAGATGGCACTGTATTTTTCCTTTTTTTTTCTAGGTTGAGGGTGTGATAAATGCCAGGTGCAGGCATGTCTACAGCTTCATACAGAGAGCCATACGCCCTGGTGGGAAAGTATGTCAAATCAACCTGTGATCCACTTATTTCATCATTTAAACCTCCAGAGATCATTTGCAGTTACTGTGTTTTGGTATTTAATCGAATGGGTTCAATTTAATGTGGAAGTGTCTAAGCATTAAACCTGTTGAAATGAGCAAGTTCTGTAATTCAGCTGCCCATGCAAAAAGCCAGCATATGATTTATGTAGCAGGCATTATCATTTCTCGGCGGACATTATCAAATGTTATTACATGGTCAAGTTGCACGTTGTGAATTAGGANCATAACCTCAGATCTGTCAACAAACCATAACCTCAGATCTGTCAACGAACCATAACCTCAGATCAGTCAACGAATCATAACCTCAGGTCTATCAACAAACCATAACCTCAGATCAGTCAACAAACCATAACCTCAGATCAGTCAACGAACCATAACCTCAGATCTGTCAACAAACCATAACCTCAGATCTGTCAACAAACCATAACCTCAGATCTGTCAACAAACCATAACCTCAGATCTGTCAACAAACCATAACCTCAGATCTGTCAACAAACCATAACCTCAGATCTCTATCATCATTCTCCCACCTTTTTTGTTAATTAAAGAATAAAACCAGTCTATCACACCTCATTCCCTCATTTTGATTTGAGCAGCAGTGGAACAACCTGTTGGCCTTGGCAGTTGGCAAAAATTGGAAGAAAACAGACACCAAAGATGGTGTGACAGTCAGCAGAATGAGTTTCAGTGATCTGCCACTTGCTGTGGTCAAGGTGAGGATTACTTGACCCTTAAATGGCTCAGATATCTCACCCATGGCACAGTGTGGACTGGTGTCAATCCACACTCCATAACTTGGATTTTTCTCTCATCATGGCTAAAGTGTGGTACAGTTTAACAATTGTGATGTGAGCATGGTGTTTTTTAAACCATAGGTTTACATCAGCTAAGGCAAAGCAAAGGGTGTCATGCAAGGGGAGTCATGAACCCATGTTCAACACCTCAAGAGGTCAACAAATATCATTTGACATACTGGCAATAAGATGAAAAGTACGAAATGATATCCTACTTTTCTTTAACATGTGCATGCTATTCATGAAGAGCTGCATGTTAATGTACAAGATATTGGAAACACTGACCTTTGGCCTTATGATGTAGAAGAAACACACATGAATCTGTTTATGTAATTTTTTCGGTACTTTTAAACTTAAAGAGAAACAGAGAGTTCAAGATTTACTTTCATAACTGGATTTTGTGGAATGAATTTTTTTTCTGTAGGCATACAACATAGTGTGGTGCCCATCGTCTGCTGACTCTGTGTTCAGAATTTCCATAGAGCTAGTATCTGGGAACTTTACCAAGATGGCACTGTATTTTTCTTTTTTTTTCTAGGTCGAGGGTGTGATAAATGCCAGGTGCAGGCATGTCTACAGCTTCATACAGAGAGCCATACGCCCTGGTGGGAAAGTATGTCAAATCAACCTGTGATCCACTTATTTCATCATTTAAACCTGCAGTTACTGTGTTTTGGTATTTAATCGAATGGGTTCAATTTAATGTGGAAGTGTCTAAGCATTAGACCTGTTGAAATGAGCAAATTCAGCTGCCCATGCAAAAAGCCAGCATATGATTTATGTAGCAGGCATTATCATTTCTCGGCGGACATTATCAAATGTTATTACATGGTCAAGTTGCACGTTGTGAATTAGGCGACTGTCTGAGGTATTTATGAATTGCGCTTCAAACCCACTGATTTCCCTCCCCTCCCCCACAGCTGGATTTCCCATTCAGAGGTGCAGATGATGTGCTGGAAGAGTTCACGATTCCACCAAGGGGTACCATCATGGACTGTTACAAGGAGATCAAGGTCCTGCCCAACACCAGTCCCCGCCGAATGACCCTTCTGCAGATGTTCGTGCCCCTACAACTGACCCAAGGTGAATCCTGTGGGATACTCATCACATCTGTCCACCATCCAGACAGTCAAAAGAAACAGGTAGGCTTATTCTTTCAAGATTTCCTAGGGTTGATGCACATGCATTTGGAATTTATAAAAAGTTAATAGTTTCAGGATCGCTGAGCTGGAACAAAAAATCATTTGATTAGAGCCACAGGCACTCAAGGAGATATGACCCGACACAAGAACAGTCACAAGTAACAGGGTGAACAACTACAAAGGAATCTTTTTGTTGCAGTTCATATGAATAGTTGGTGACTTGATTTCAGACTGGGGGTCTTTTGGGGTCTTGCGATGGTCCACAACGTGTCACTTTCAACACTAATTTGAAGTCCCAACTTAAGTATTAAATTCATTCACTTGCATTCATCAGGGTGCTGTCTCCTGCAATATGGGCTTGTCTGGTTGCATCATCAAACCACAACAGAACCCACAAGCCAGCTTGTCGACCAATCCCCCTCCTGACACAGAGGAAGACAGTGCCAGCGAGGATGAGGACGGGCTCCTTCCACCATGCAGGGCAGGGAGGTCAGAGGTCACCCACCTAACTTTGCTGGGTCAGATCAATCTGCAAGGGTCACTGCAGCCAATGCTGAAGGGAGCCTACAAGTCAGGGCTGCTTGTGCATGGCATGCGGGCGTTCTTCCAAAACCTGACCGAGCACATCTACAGCTATGTCAAGATAGTGGATGTCTGACATGTAAACAAAATCAGGACAAAGAATGTGGTTCTGTTTTGGATAAGCACCAGGTTTGTGCGGTCTTTCCTTGGCAGCATAATGAAAAATGCACTGTTTTGAACTTACTGCTATAATAATAAGGGAATTTCCTAGATAATCTCTTACCTTTCTCATCAAGACCAGATTTGGTTGCAAAACTATATACAATGAATAGCTACTGCTTCTTTAAAAGAATATGTATGGTAGCGAAGTATCTGGATGGAGGGTTGTGAACTTGTTGCACAGGGGTTGCCCTAAGAAGTTGTCGATCAGTTCATGCGGTGATGGACCCAACCCAGCAAAAGGGTTCCAATGTCACTGAAGTCGTTTCATCAAATCCAAACAAGCACAGGGGTGTCAAACATTGTTGTATGTCAAATTTATAGCTCAGCACTGGTGTGCTCTGTGAAAACAAGCATGAGAAAACTTGTTTACTTGATTTATCCACACAACTCTCTGTATTTTACAGCTTTTGGTATCAATGTATTCTTCTCATTTTAAGATTTCAACATTTATTTGGGCAAACCTAGTATCTGCCCCAACACCCTTTTTACCATTGAAAGCTGCAAATCTGTTAAGTGTGTTTAAATTCTTCCAAACATGCCCTCTTTTGCTGAGAAAAAAAGAATGATATATTTGAACTGACAACTTTTCTTTTCTGAAAGCAATATAAGTCAACTTTGTTAAAATTACAGTTCATTTATTGATTCGTCAATACGAATTTCTGTTATTAAATTTAATGTGAATTAGAATTTCTTTAGTTGAAAACTGCAAATCGAGTGAGTGTGTGATTTTTTCAAACATGACCATTTTTGCCAGGGAAAGGATATTTGAACATTGTTGAATATTTTTGGATGTGTATTTTTTTCAAGTCAACAGTTTTGCTAGTATCAAAAGAAATATCAGATGAACATCCGAATAAAAGTTTATTCATTAATGATTTGTAATGAGAGTTTAGTTCTTACTTTAGTATTTGCTTATATGAATTCAGTTCTAAATAAATGCTACCTGTTCACGTTTCTTAGCAGATCATGAAATATTTGTAAGCTTGCAGGAAATGACGGATACAAATTCAGTGCACAATGTTTCAGGTTTTTTAAGTAAAAGTCCTTAAATTGATCATATTCCTTTGTAGATCAAGTACGTATAATGTTTAGTTTATTCTATGTATATTGAGTGTCCAAGAGTGTGATATTTCAAGAAAATTGAGCTGTTAGTTGTTATGAAAAACAAGAATTATTTTTGTATTGTGAAACCGTAGCATCGATGACTGACTAAATTTTAGAAATTTTCAGGTTTATACTTATTGAAAAAAGTTGCAATAAAGTGTAGAATGGCAGAAATCCAAATACACAAAGATGTAGTAAAATGTAGTATCAAACTTATTTTGGCTGACATGGTTGACAGTCTGTAGTTGTGGTAAATTTTGCAACACACTGTCCAATTAAGTGAACACCTGTAGTCCAGTCCATTCTACATGTATGTATAATCTCTTTCAAAATTCTAATCGAGGTTAGGACATTTAGATGCAAAAAATAAAAATTAGTTGAAACAGTACAATTTTTTAAACACGGTTCCCCTCCACAGCTTTTGTTCTGGTTTCATATTTTTCATCGGAATAAGTGACACCCTTTATTTTTTTCCAAATAACAATTTAATCCTCCGTAAAGAACATGGGTTCGTTAGACACAGCCAGACCTTGTGTATATTCTTTCTCAAATTTCTGATGAATTTCGGACAGGTCTCCAACCAGTGATATACGTAACTTGCCTGCCTTCCTACCCCAGTGCGAGCAACCTTTGAGTGCACTTATTCTTTGGTTAGATAATCCTACAGCGAGTCCCTCCCTTTATTTTCTTACCGAGGTAGTTCTGAACTATTTTGGTGGTAGACTGTTGATTAACCCGTTTACATGGAATTGACTTTCCAAGCTCTGTTTCTTCCATTTATTTTACAATTTACTATTTCATTTTAAATTCATGCGCGTCACATTCCCTTCTCCGCATTCCTCGTGCCATAATGACTGGGCTCAAGTTGTTCACCCTCAGTCAAGTTTAGGATATTCACAATCGTCCCCTTGATATACCTGAATAGGTGACGTGCTGATTCCATTGAATCCGGTCAGTTCAAGGTATTCCAACATCTCATTATCGTATAGGCTGTAGTAGTTTTGGACGTCACGGACAAGTACAAAGAGACTGAGCGCCGGGCTGTCTGAGACAACAGAGTAGGTGTACTGTCCGTTAACTACCGGTCCCAGTTTGATGATCCAGTCTGAAAATTAAAGAATCAGCAAAATGATGAAAAAAGTGCAGTAAAAAGTATCTCCTTTGCGCAGGCAGATGGCAATGTGGCCACCAATTTCTTGAATTACTGTTGTGTGCAGTATATAGTTTCGCACACTTTCCTGTGTCCGCGATCTGCGAACGTGTACTACCGTACTCCGAACGTGTTGGCGCGCAAGGAACACCCCTATCAATCCACTCCGACCGGAACAAAAGAGGGCCTGTTTTGTGGTACTCACAGCATAGGCGTACCATTAGGCGCGCGAGTATATGCGCGTTTGACGCGGAGCTCGTTGAGTACGCGTAACTGGTCAGCTCGGGGCGGACAGCGGCGAGCGACTTTGGAGCAACTGCTTGTGTTGCCTCTAAAAAGTGACGCACTATCGCAGGGATCACTTTGAATCTGCAAGCGGGAAATAGTAGGGGATGTAACGGCACTCGTATCGAGCGTGGCCCGGAAGGGCGTGTCCCCCTCTCTTACACTACTTGATTACCTAGCTGGATTCGCAAGTGGTTGATACGATTTCAACTTAAAGACCCAGGGGTTTAGATCGCTCATATATTCCCTTGTCCGTAGCCGCAAAGTTGTCGGATGCAAAATAGCTGTACAGTGCTAACCTCACTTTATTGGAAAATGTCAAATAATTTAATGACTGATGTGCATACAATTCATAAATTGCCTTTAAAACCATTTTGTGTCCAGGTTTTAGGACCCCATCGCACTAAACAGTCATTGAATTTTTTTATCCTCCCTTTTCGAACATTGTTTGTAGACAGCCTATGAAAATTAACAGATGGCATCATCACGTCTATAAATGCATTCATTATACAGAATATCTTACACGGGCTATTGATGAGGACACCATCTAGCGCTACCAGCAGTTTCCCAGGATCAGACGGGTCTGGAATGTAGGCATAACCGTTGATTGAATCCTCAACGCCATCCCGGGTCTTGTAGTTGTTGAACACGGTCACGTAGGTTTCGTTAATTTTGTTATCTGAATTTGCAATGCAGAACATCAAGTAAACGTTATTCAAAAATTTCTAGAATTGCTTAAATGTTTCTGTTTATTCAACTAGTTCGACGAGGTTTGCTCTCTGGAGTCAAGTCTTCTATTGGTTCGTCGAATATTACGTTAATTCGTAATACGTTAACTTTATTCATCGGATGGAGCTGGGATTGTGTTTTAGTAACCGGAGATAAGTAGATTCAATTCATTATTATATACACAATAATTTTGCCACAATTGCTTACACGTTGCCGTTGTGCACTCTGCCTGTTGAGAATCAGCGAATAAATTCGACCAGAAATTGCCGTACACCTGCAATTAACAATCACTGGAAGATTAAGCCTATATTGACTATTTTGAAAAAAGAGTCGCCAATGAAGAGATTATGTCTGGTTTGTAGAATTGACGGAGGGATGAGACTGTACAGTAATAGCCTTATTTATCTTATAAAAGGTTACATAAAACACAGTGTTTTGAAAAAAGAAAAGAAAAGCTGATTATAGATCGCACTTAAATTGCTTACCACTTGTATGGGCGGCCAAGTAAAGTTCACAGAAATATCACCCTTGGTCGGTGTCACCTTAAACTACATTTTTGATATTGCTTTTAAAGAGGGGTGTCCACTGTGCTCACTGTTAAGTTCACGAATTGGGGTTGTGGTAGCTGCTGGAGGCTTTAATATATTTGCTGAATTATTCTTTGGATTTTGTACTGACAGTCAGCCATTGTTTTACCATTGTGGGCAAAAATAAGAATGCGACGTAGAAAGAGCAGACCCTAGTGACAAAGCACTCGAAGAAGGGGCCGATTGTTTAAAGTCGCCTTACCTGGTACCATCTGCCGGTGTAGAGATCAACTTTTACGTCTTTGATCGTGTCCAAGGCACGCACTCCCGAGACAAGACACACTGCCAAAAACAGAGAATAAACTAACATCTTTGTATCCATCTTTTACCGAGTTGACTAATTCCGTTGAGATGTTTGCCACACTGGACACCCTTCGGTTGTGATTTGGAGTGGACTTTATACTGATAATTCATGTGCAATGTTTCTGCATGATGAATGGATTAAGAGTCCAAGGGGCACTGTGGTATTCGATAAAGGTGGTCTGGATTAATTCTTGGGTGCGTCCACTTAATTTGAATTAAGCTTGCAGAGATAGTTGCTGGAAAACGAAACCAAAGAACAATTCGTGTGTTGTAATGATTAAAATCATTTGTTTTCAGTGACTGTGTAATGACTATAGGATGCTTGTCCTGCAGAGCCAAAATTGAATAGTCAACCCCCTTGCAGTACGATTGCATGTAACACCATGCACTTCCGACCACTGATAACTTGGCTTATCAGATATGCAAACTTGCAAAATTTTAAATAGCAGCACGTCAGAAATTGTAGCCTGTTAGCTCAATCAAAGCTGCAGATGAGGAGTTTCCATCATGTTAGTAATAACAATTTCTGTCGACACCTATGTGTTTCAGGTGTGATTTAGGGATGTGCCTGGATAGATCTTACAGCACATTAAGTTAAAACATGGGGGCCTGAATTTCAGAAAAGTTCCAATGTTCAATTGGAAATAGAGGAACTATCTGAAGATTTTTAGATTATGTTATGTATTGAGGCTAAAGGTTCGTGTTAAAAGTGAACCTGACCAAAAACAGTCAGAAATGCAATTGTTAGGGATCTGGACGGTGGCATATTACGCAATTCAGAGTATGCAGAATCAGAACAGAGGCCGATCCAGAAGGAATTATTAAAGTCAGGGGGCCCAAGCTCCCCCCCCCCGGATTTTCCTCTTCAGGCCCGTTAGCCTTCCTCCCACAACGTTACATGCACAAAAATGTAACGCCAGTGGCGTTTCTTGGGTAAAATTGCTTGGGGGCACCAGGGTGTACATAAGTTAAGGGGAACTTGAAGCAAATCAGCAGTGTCTTAATTGTTCATAGGCTTCGCACATTTTCGAATCTCAAACAGGGTGGGGTAGGGGGGACCCAGGGAACGAACTTCCGCTATAGGGGACGTGACCCCGTAGTTACGCTATGACGTTCCAGGATGTTCCATGATGTTGGTTTGGTTGACGTGCGTCTGCATTTAATTAAACTAGTCATGTCAGCCCCACCCCGTCTGATTCCTCATACTCAGTGCACAGGATATCCATATTGTCGACTCCGCTCGCCCTAACCACCCAACAGAGCTCTAAGAAGGACAAATGCATGACTTAATTTTGTCGAGCAATAACTCAAGTCAAAACTTCCCTATTCGCAGGACGCATGAGCCACGCGTTATAAGACAGGACAAACACTTAGTGCGTCGGGATCTGCGACATTTTCCCTTACCAGCGACTGTAAGAGCAATGGGGACGAGCGAATCCTGTCAACTTTCTTTTCTTGGTCTGGGATGGAGGAAATGTGTCTTCCAGAGTTTACATGCTGGGTAATTTCTTGGCTAATCTCAAAGGATATTTTTACTTGTCACATATCCCGTAGCCAATGAGATCATCTGATCCCATTCTGCATGAAAAGGAAGTCCTTTTAACTTTGTAAATATCATATGGCGAATTCTCATCGAATTTCGTTTCGTAACTGGGCTTTATCGCAAATTAAAACCACGTTGCGGTGATAGCGACGTTTGATTCACGTGCAGGGTGAGGTGGTGCAATGTGACCCAAACACTGACTGATATATGGCCACCAAGAATTAAAACCTTGTTCCAAGTGTCTGTTCATTTTATTTTATGAGTGTGTGTGTAAGATGATGGGGTGGGAAGAAAATTCCTTGGAATCAGACAAATTTATTTGGTATAATTTTTAGCCTAATGAACCATATGAAACCTCGTCCAATCTTGACAAAATGGGTGGTTTACGTTAGTTGGTTTGTGTTAGGCATAAACAAAGCTATTAATACCAGAGTCCTCATTATCTGTAATAAGATTACGCGAATTAAGACATCGTAGTTTACCAAGAGTCTATAAAAGTGGACCAAACTCTAACCTAAATCGTTAAATTGAAGCGAGAAATTCCACCTCGAATTATTTCACGGTAGCTTTGCCTCCAAGACACATCACATCAGCCATGTTGAGTTTGGTCATCTTGGCGGTCTTTGTGACCAGTAGCAGTGCATTGGGAACCGTTCCAGAGCTGGATCCCGCCATGTACCTCGGGCGGTGGTATCAGGTAAAACGTTCTGTGCGTGCTCATGGTCAATGGAAAAACTTACTTGATGGCGAGAGTATGGTCGACATTGCTCTCCTGTTTGTTGGCTTGGTCTGTGAAGCACAGTTTAAGCAACGGTGTTGGATTTAGAAATCTTTGCTTATTCTATATACATTTTGTTTTTTATTTAATGACGCTAGGAGAGCATTGCGCACGAAAGCAGTGTTGAGTCCTTCCTTGCTTATTCAAATTTATTCCTATTTGCTGACAGATGTACACGAATGGATGGACGAACCTTTTCTCAAACTTGCCCAATCCCCAGTGCGTCACCGCCACCTGTAAGTACCGAGGGGGTTGCTTATCGTTTGCATTATTCACCACGAGTCGGACGTAATTGATCTTTCTTTCGGTTGACAAACTGACCTTTATGCAACCTGACTTTTCTATCTACTTGAAAAATAATTCCAAGGAAATCGCTCGTTAAAATCCAGAAAGTAGTGGAATTTCAATCGTGTTGCATTTAAGTTTGACAAACTTTCATTTCATATACTAAGATTGGTGTGGAATTACGATAAAAAGGTGGTCAACTTTAAAATCTTACTGACCTCCTCTTAAAAACAGATTTTATCCTTGCAAAATGGCCATGTGCAATGAAATGTATTCGTGTATTGCAAGCAATTACACTTCATGTAAACGTGTGTCTTGTCTCTATTCTCCCTTTCTCAGATGGTGCCATTAACGCTACCTACATCAGCGTTCTCAACCACAACTACAACCTGGAAGGGCAGGAGAGCAGTATTACAGGCTACGCCTTCGTGCCTGACGTCAGGGAACCTGGCAAACTCAAGGTGTCACTCGAAGGGGTTCCAATAGTCGGAGACTGTGAGTTCAGAATGTTTCTTGCGAATGTGGACTTACCAGGATGTTCATGATTTGTTATTACGTAGATATAGACACACTGAATGGCTATTCTATTTTGAAACAGGCAAACCAAATAATGACTTTACATGAGCCTGGGAAAAACCAAAGGAGGCAGAACGAGCACGTGTCTTCCCTTTTGCCTCACCTAGACCTATAGAATTTGGAGACAGAAGAGAAAGGCTGAGGCTGACCAAAACTGTTGATTATCACTCTGAGGAAATGACCCTTGAACTCATATGCCTTGAGGGGTAATGGCATTACAAACAGTACAACTCGTAATATTCTGTAAAAGGGAAAGGGTATTTTTTATTATATCAAAGGTCTTTTTTAGCCAGTGTCAGTTATAGACGTCTGTTTGAATTGGTTCTATCCAACATTATTGCAACTGAAAGGCCTCTTTCCCCTGTACTACAATTTGTCTCCCTTGTAACCCTTGCTGTTATATTTTGATATCACCTTTATTTTGCTCAGACTGGGTGTTCAAGTTGGGTCCCATTGTCAACAACCAGTACGAATACAGTCTGATCACAGACGGAGAGGCCACTATGCAACTGTTCGTGCTGGCCCGAGATCCGGTCGAATTCAATGCCAAATATGATGCTGAGGTGAGTCTTCGCTAGGAACATTTCTATAAGTAAAAATGGGTGTCGGGAGGAGGGATTTGCCGAAGAAATACTTGGAATCGACCCCCTTCCACCGCTGATGGTTTGTCAAATTGCTGCATTGTGGTTTGCTCCCCGAAAAGAGCTTTATATGGTGGCCCTGGAGGGACATCGCTGATCGTCAATATTGACGTCAATATTTGCGACCAAAATTCACGACTTGCTTTTCAGTCGGGAATACTGACGTCAATAGTTGCGACCGAATTCACGGCTCGTTGTATCTCCGGTCGCAAATACTGCCGCGATTTTTTTTCAGCAAGCTAGGTGGAAATGAAGTGTTCACACGCACGCGCATTTTTTGGCAATCTCTCTCTCTCTCTGGCTCTCTCTCTCTACCTACCTTGCTGGAAAAAAATTGGGGGAAATATTTGCAACCGGAGACACACCGAGTCTTGAATTTGGTCTTGAATATTGGCGTCAATATTCGCGACCTAAGAGTGGCTAGTAAATTTGGTCGCAAATTGACGTCAATATTGACGATTGGCGATGTTCTTCCAGGGCTACGGTACCGTAGCTTTACTTTATCCCGGCGACGTCCATGAAAATAGATGCACACTTTGATTTAAGGAAGGAACGTGATAATTAGTCGGATTGACGAAAGATTTCATTTGATTGGAAAATTGCAAGTGCAAAATGAATGCCTGACCCTACGAACTGTGCGCATTAACAAGGCCGGATCCAGACCCAAACTTTTTTGGGGCCGGGGGGTGGGCAAAATAAGTAAGCAGCGTCCCAGGTGTACTTTTGCATCAACTGATCACACTATATTATAATTAAGCAGCTGCTCAGAAACAATTTCCTGAACAAAATTGGCTTTGTCTATACAAAACAACCTCCATTTAAGACACTTAATATCTTCACTTTGATTTTAAAAAAATAGTCGGTGGGGGTGCGATGGTCCCCTTGCCCCCTCATCCACACTTACACAGTAACAGCAGACATCCACGCATGTTGCGCCTGCTCCTTCATTGTGTTCTGTCACATTTGAATTTAAAATGCATCCGCTTTTCCTTCATTTTAAAAACACATTATCATGCAGGTCTGTACAAGGGGTAACCAGCAATGGGAATGCTGTTGACTACAGATCCCCAATGTGTTATAAGAAATTTTAAAAATGACTCAGGAAGTAACTTATAGCATAAATAAAATCCTTCTGACCTTTGACGAAGCAATACGCAGCATTCCATAAGCTACAACCTATTTTGTAAACAAGATGTTTTATTTGTCGTTTCTGCAGGTTCAGGAATACATAACCTTGACCGGATTCACAGTTGGTCTTAAAAAGTACGAGCCTGTGCCCCAAGTTCCAGAGTGCAAGTACCTCCCTATGCCATAGAAGACAGAGCCCACCATCTCCCATCTATCACATCAAACTATCCTATCTTTGTGCATTTTAGACAATTATTCCCTTCATCTGTATTTAATTTTTCCAAATGCTAGTCTTCAATTTCCTTTCTAAAGCTTTTCTTTTTATTTTAACCATGAAAGAGTTCAAAACCATTAAGTCTGAACTTTGTAAACCAGGGTAATATCTAGAATTTCCAGTGCATGTCCGTCCCACAAATTTCATCTGTTTCTATATCTAATTTATTTAACGATTACTTTAGTAGTCTGTTATGAATGCAAAATGAAAAGTTGTTACGTATTTTTTTGTTGTTGAGACACTAATTTATTTGAGATACGTACTGTTATTCTAATAAGGTCCATCCCCCATAAGCGCCCTTATTGGTGAACAAAATTTATTTAGAATGACTTCTGTTTTAAATATATTCAAAATGTCAGGGTTTTCTTATTTCTTTTTAAATTTGTGTCGGGAAGTTAAACCCTTTTTGTACATAGAACTTATGGATTGAATAATAAAGGGGTTAACCTAATACCATACAAATTTGGAATACATGGGGATCATTCTCGACTCCTTGTATATTGTGTATAAGACAATGCGTAAGGACTAGAGCATCAATGAGCTAATCGGAGCTGGCCACGATCCAAATTTTGGCTTTATTTCCGTCTCATCCTTCGTCTCTGGTTGCCCGTTGCTCACTTTGCAATGATAGAAAATAGCTCCATCTTCTGGTCGATAACATGCAGTCCTATGCTTCCATATTTAGCTATTCAGAACAAAACTCCAATCACAGTGTGGTAAAAATCAGTCGTAGGAGGAGGCAAAGCTGAGACTTAAAACCCCCTTTACCCCTTGGGGCGGGGGAAAAACTTCCAGGCGTTAAAACAACCGTCCACCATTTTGGTTTGCCCTTGACGCACGAGCAGCAAATTCAACAGCTTTTATCATTTAAAGTCCCCTTGATTTGATTTTTTCCGTAATGCCGTCAAAGCTGAATTCAAAATGCATTACTTCTCGGCTGAGTTGTACTTTTATCCTCCGAACCAAAACTTTCTTGTAAGTTAATGCACCTCTTCTGCATATTGTTTCTTTAATATGTGAATCGCATTGGTGCAGATTGAGACAAAGTTGCTATTCATATACGGATGGGATGTGGTCCCTGATTATCATCTGAGCATCTGCTGGGGAGAGAAAGATCAAAAGCGGCATGCGCCTTCACCTTTGCCCACGCTTGAATGGAAACAAAAGAGTGTCATGGTGATCATGTAATTAATACGGCTTTATTTAATATATAAATAATTTGCACAGTGGAAATCATTGTTTGGATGCATGGATGCTACCTCAAACCAATTCGAAAACTACTACTAGAAATGCCGCTGCTAGGTTTGAGCTACTCCCAAAAGCAACCTTCCCACCGAACTCACTCCATGCACCCAGCGTCTTTTTGAATCGTGTTCTTCGCGAAACCAGTGATACTAGACTACCTTTTCTTTGGAGGGGGGACAACTTAAATCCAGACGCGAAAATCCTGATACGAATACCGATAAACCACATTGATCAATTCAACCTTTAGAAAATTACAAGTTACATGAAAATCTGTCAACCTATTTACAAGTATTTATGTTACCCAAGTGTGAGATTTGAACTTTGGACTAAATTCGACGTCTCCTATCACCAAACCACAATCACCGTGTTTGTATTAGACTTACTCGGGTAGCAGAGTTGACTGCAAAACTACATAATCAATTTCCTGCTGTTAGATTTCTTCTGAATAGGCCTACAACGAGAACCCATCGCTGTCTAAATAAGATCCAGCACAGCAGTACATTTCAACAGCGGCAAAATGCGCGCACTGAGAGTATTTCTCTTTGCGGTCTTCACCGTGTGCAGTGGGGACATCCCGACTGTAACGAAGCTGGACCTCAAGGCTTACGTAGGTCGATGGTACCAGGTGAGCTGTTGGATGTCTGCAGACAAGCTTCATTTTATTTGGCAAAATATTTCATGCAATGATTTTACAAAACCTTACAAACCTATAAATGCCCAATATGAAGCCTACATAACTGTGGTAGCCTACGGCTTCCCAACGGCAAACGCTTGCACACCATAGTTTTAATTATGCACAAAATGAAGTAAGTCGACAAAACTTCGTTTCATGATATTTTCAAAAGTGAATTCGTTTTGATTTTGTTGACAGCCGTTTCAAAACAGATGGACAAAGATTGTCAACGTTGATTTAGACTCTGTGTGCACCACAGCAGATTGTAAGTTTCTACAAGCAAACAGCAAACTGTACTATACAGTTGGTTTCTTGAAAATCACATGATTACATATAGAGATCCCTGAAGACCTTTGCTCCATTTTGGTCAAGCAGTTCAAATATTTTCAGACAATGACCCGTCTTTCCCTTGAACTAGTGACATAAATTTTTGACTTGGCAAAGGGAATGCTTTACCTTCAGCAAAATAATTACGCAGTGAGTTACATCTTCAAGTATAATGCCTATAAATTTAATCCTTTAACATCTGGAAAATCTGTGGTTATTACTGTAAACTGATGTTGACTTATCTTTGTTTTTGTCCAGATAAAATTATAAACCAGACGTTCGTCTCGGTGTACAACGCCGGCCGGGAGGGCTGGCCGGAGGGCAAGCGCAGAGACATCGCTGGTTTCGCCTACATTCCAGACCCGTCGCAGCCCGGCAGACTGAAGGTGGTGCTGGATGGAGTCCCCACTGCTGGTGATTGTAAGTCGCCATGCCAACTTTTTATTATGAATACCTTAGGTCTGAATTAATCCCTACCGCTGAGAAGAGATAACATACCCTATCATGCTGGTGTCTCATGCCAAAAAAGTCCGTCTCTTTAGTCCTGCTTTCTTTGATTATTCCTATAGCCGAGAAAACGTCACAGATAAGGGTCGTCGCAAAAAAAAAAAAGAGTTCCAGAGACAATATGTAGACTGGGACTCTGTATTTTAAACATTATTTGTCAAATAGTTAGACAAGTTAGACCACCTGATTGTCCATGATTTGTAAACAGAGGTTTGAAAGTGCAGACAGGTCAAAACCAACCAAGATTTTTAAAAGTTCTATTTCGTTGAGCGGAAAAGCACTTCGGAAAAATATTTTGGTCGTGGTCCTTCTACGCTTGAAGCCTCGTCTGTTTTATTCTTTATCGTAATCCAGACCTCATCATCAAACTTGGTCCCATCATCGATGGTCAGTACCAATACGCGGTGGTGACCAGCAGCGGTGATCGCGCCCTCTACGTTCTGGCCAGGAACCCTATCTCCTTCTTGGACAAGTACGCGGAGGAAGTCTTGAAGTTTCTGGACGACAACGGGTACCGGGGATTCCTGAAGAAACCCTTACCCCTGCTGCAGGCTACCAACTGCGGCTATCCAGAAGTTAGAAATTAGATGTCAGGGGCCCCATCACTAATCGTACCAGCGAGCTGTTACGATTTTGAAGGAAAAGAACACTTTTCTTCATCGACAGAAAGCCAGTAGCCAATTAGCAGCTTGTTGGTATCCAGACGTAATGAAGCAATTCCTTTTGCATCTCTTGATCACTAATTTCATTGTTGAACCGCCGGTCTTCCCGTTATTAATTAATTAATCTTTAAGCCACTTATTCCCAGTGAGAAAAACACCTCCACAATTTCTGGCTATCAACAGATACACAACTTACCGTTTACTGTTCAAATTTCTATTAGGCCTACTTTTATCAATTTTATTACACCTTATGGAAAGATAAAATGAAAATTAACCGTAGCAAATATGCACTTTTTGTAATTACACACGTTTATGAGTAGGTGACAGTAATTTTCATATCCATTTGTATAATGGAGATTTAAAGTGTTTTATATCTAGAATGGAAAAATAAATGATTAGAGAACCTGACTCAATCGAAATAGTGGTAAACTTTTGGGAAAAAACTGTAGCAAGAGGTGTTATCAGAGGATGGGGCCTCAACCCGCCAAATCGAAAAGGAAGCCCCAAATATTGTATTAACTTTTATAGTTGCATAGATGACACATAAAAGAGGCTGATAGATTCCCTGCCCCTCGTTTATTCACAATCAATTCTCAACGAATATCTTCGAATTACAGAGGTCTAAACTAGAAAAACACCGAATTTGAAATCATTTTATTATTATCTTTTAAAAAGGTGACATGTTACAGATGATCCGGTTGAGTTATTATCAATCTATATCACTCCACGTTGGCAGGATTCAGTTATATCAAGCCTATCAGAGTAGATCGAGGCGGGACTTGCCTATAATCAGCATCTAAAATGTTTGAAATGTCCTGAAAATGGATGAAGGTTAAACCTTTCTCAAACTACTTGTTGGGAAAAGGAATAAATAAACAAATAAATTAATGCATAATGAACAGGGAAATGGTTACAACCTGGACATTGGTTATATCTTTGACACAGTAGGCCAATAGAAAAGAAAACATAATTGAACGACTGACAGGAGCTGCTAACAACATACCAAAACAAGTAATGTCATTGTTTAATTAACATTGAAATTTGTTGGAAAACTTACAAATATAAGTCAAAATTATTCCATTTGTCATTTTTTCTCCATCACACCCCCCTTTAATTTGATAAATATTATCGGTATAATTGAGGTTTTAACATTAATTTACCAGCTATCTAATGCTATCTATATAATGGTCTTGAAGTGATCTCACGAGACTTCCCTGTAAACCAAAGTGCATCCACCGAATTATGAAACGGGTCAAAAGTTGCTTTCGTTGTGTAAGACCTTTGTAGGTCAAGTTCACCAGCGTGAATTTGGCAGGTTCAAATTAACAAGGATGTCTGAGTTATAAACTATATTTCTGATCAAAGTCTGTGACCGCCTCATTTCTAACGCCACGCATTCGGGAGCATGTCTGTTGATCTATAGATTAACCCCACCCCCGCAGACATTTTCATGTCAAACAGTTCTGCAAACAGAAGTGGCAGGGGTGATAAAATAGAAGTGTCTAATTCGAGCAAGGCAGTTTTGCACAAACGTGTTTTTACAATTTCCACAATGGAACTCAGTACAAAGCGCTGCATATAGGCCTCCGAATAAGAATTCACGATTCACATGCAATCGCCTAATTCTATTTTTTCATATAATTATTTTACCGTACTGGGTATTGTTCGTTATTCAGACCGAGTTTACGCTTCGCCCGACTACCGAAGTTTTTTGTTCAGAACTGGCTTCGTGTCACTGACGTCTGAAAAAAAAACCATGGTATTACATAACAGAGAATAACCAGTCTTGGTCATTTCCCCATTCATACTTCGGTCAGGTGATGTTAATTTGGCAAAACAACTGCATTATATGACGGTTTCGCAATTTTGTTTTACCGCTCACCCAATTAGTTTTCCATAACGATTGGTGTCAAGAACAAACTCAAGAAATGTGTTTAAAAATGCAATCACTGAATTGCAGTTCTGTTTAAAGATTGTGCGATCTTGCTGCATGGAGATAGTGTATGTTGATCAGAGTTGGTTTTTTGCTCTATAAAAAGTGAGGAAACCAGGGGGGTTTCCACTTCGGTAAAACCAATTAAGCCTTAATTCGACATTCTTTCATTTCTTACTGCATTGCAGATCTCATAATTCTTCAAAGAGTTGACCTTTGACCTACCATTTTCGTAATAATGAACATATTTTGTTGGTTCAAAAGCCTACAAATGATTGTTATCACTTCCATCCGAAAAACACATACGGAAACACCCGCGGTTGACTAGGCAAGGTCATCCGGTTGCGGGAAAGTAGACCTACCGTGTTGCGTATATGTAACGCAGGAGTGAACACGCACGTGACTATGCTGTAGCAAAGGTTGGTCGTATACCGGTACTGCTGGTGTCCACCTTTTCAGGCAGCGGACTCGACACAAGAACACATCAGCTGAAGCTCTGGAGGCTGGCTGACATCCTGCGTTTTATCAGATACAGAGTATAAGTTATACACGGCGAGGAAAATGGTCAAGATCTTCTCAGCGGTCGTGGCCTTGTGTCTTGCTGGGACAGGTCTCGGGGCCCCGGCCTACTTTTCGCCTCCGAAGACCGTCAGCGAGCTGGACGTTCAGAGTTATCTCGGCAGATGGTATCAAGTAAGTTGACACTCTAATATGCATGCCTATCACGGAATCCTATACCTTGGCATTTTCTGTGATTTACATATCATTCTTTCGTTGATAACACAGGTCAACAATTTGACAGCGGCAGTTACAGTCAAACCGAATGAGCCCGTCAAAAACTGCACCAGTGCATTTAAATGATCTTGAAGCATCTTGC